AAGAAGTTGGATGAATTCAAGGGCATATGGTCCAAGTACCTCCATGAGATTTTGTGGTCATATCACATAACTCCATATTCAACTACACAGGAAACTCCCTTTCGGATGTTATACGACGCTGACACAATGATCCCCGTAGAGATCGACACTCCAACATGGAGGCGAGAACACTTCAACGAAGATGTCAACCAAGAAGACTTGAACAGCTCGATCGACTTGCTCGATGAAGTCAGGGAAGTCGCCCATATCCGAGAATTCGTAACAAAGGATAAACTGACGAAGAAGTTTAACTTGAAGGTAAGACAAAGGGGTTTCCAAAGAGCGACTTGGTCCTCAAATAAATAACTGATCCCAAAAATAAGGGAAAGCTATCTCCAAATTGGGAGGGTCTGTTCTGAGTCCTTCAGAAGCTGAACAATGGGGCTTACAAGCTGGAAACTTTAGATGGTGTAGAAGTGCCTAGGACTTGGAAAATATCTAATCTTAGGACTTATTTCAGTTAATATTATGTAATTAAAACTATGAATAAATGTAATGGATGCACTCTTTTCCCTGCAAGGGCAGGGGTTTTTAATGAGGCTCCCAGGTTCAAACATCTTTGTAATGCTCTGATAAGGACTAAGTCGATGCATACTCTAAGCCTCTCGCATGGTTCACCTTGACTCCGGGAAAGAAGGTTTGACCGGACTAAGTCGATGTATACTCTAAGCCTCTCATACGGTTCACCTTGCCTCCGGGCAAGAAGCTTTTACCATACTAAGTCGATGTGTACTATAAGCCTCTCGCACGGTCCACCCCGCCTCCGGGAAAGAAGGTTTGACCGGACTAAGTCAATGCATACTATAAGCCTCTCGCACGGTTCACCTCGCCTTTGGGCAAGAAGGTTTGACCGGACTAAGTTGATGCATACTCTAAGCTTCTCACACGGTTCACCTTGCCTCCTGGCAAGAAGGTTTGGCCGAATTAATGATGAAACGCGCACCCTAAAGCCTCTAGTAACAATCAAACCTCTCCAAGGCTCTCAAACCGTTATAGATGCATCCTTGCATGGCATTGTGATAAAACCCAATAATAAGAACCCAAAGCTCATCAAAAGACTAACGATTAAAGATGATATCTTGCAAAAATCCTATTGAAAGGATAAAAAACTATACATACATCCGGGTTGGCATCATCAACCTCCAAAAAACGAATAGCAAGCCCGCCTATAATTATAAAAGGGTGCGACTTGAAAGACAAGTGAAAACAAACGCTTGGGGATCTTAAGTCCAAAAGCACTAATAAACCCAAGTGTGTTAACCTGGATGACCCAAACATCTCAAAAGAGGAAGCTTGCGAAAATAAGTTTTCGCGTTTTCATGATCGAACACTGAAAGTCCTATGGACTTTGTGTCTGATGGGCTAGGATACACAGATTATAGTTTTTAAAACAATTGGTACAAATCAAAAACCAAAAATAAAAACAGAAAATAAATATGATAAAGGCATTAACATAAGGCCATAAGAGGCAAAATCCAAAACTTGGCACCCGAAGGCAAGAAGTCATTACATAGAAAGGGGGATGAAACCACACTCCCCAAAACAAAACAAAATTATATAAATGCATCCTTATCAGATGACTAACAAAATCAGATAGAACTAAGTAGCCAACTTCTCTTATAGGTTGTCATGGTTATTATTCTCCATACTAGAAGGGTTATCATGGTTTGATGGAGGAGCTTTGGGTCTTCTCCCCTTCCTCAAGATATACAAGGCGGCCATCCTGCACCACCTCGAAATAATCCATCTCGGACAAGTCCGTATCCGGATAAAGGCATAACACCTGATCTTTAGCCCGATCAAAAGCTTCATCCACGGAAGAGAGGACCTACATCAGGGAATTTTTAAGATCCTCTTTGAGATCATCATTTGCAGTCTTCGCAGACTTAAGCTTGTCAGTGAGTTGGGTAACGGACTTCCTGCTCTCCATCTCTAAGGTCTCCCTTCGAGTATTCTCCTCCAAAAGGCTCTTCTCCAAAGCAGTTATCTTGCTGGATTTGACCTTTTGGTCATCCTTCAAGTTATTTATCTCCTTCTAGAGCTTCAACTATTTTTGCTCGAAGTCATCGTTGGACTCAAACAAACCCCTTGACAAAACAACACACCTCATAAGGTACGAGCTGATATTCTGAAACATCTTCTGACAAACTATGGACCTCACCTTCTTAACATCCTCATCCACTTTGAGATAGTTATATAAGAACTTGATCCCATCAAAGTTGTTGGACCAAAACTTAAATTCCTTGGTCGGGGCAGAAGCTCCCTTCCCGGAGTCCCTCATCAACGAAGCAATTTTTGTATCATCCCGACAAACAATGCTACTCATCAAGGTCTTTAGTTTCTTAGGAGTACCCTAATGAGCCTCCTCAGGAATAGGGGGAGTTGAAGATTGGGGCTCAGCTGAACCCGCAATCTCCTTGGTGCCAATCGCTTTCTTCCTTTTTAAAAGACGAGTTTCAAGGCCAACGAGGTCCGATTTGGATGGAATGGCCCCTCCAGCCCCTTTCCTTGCAGCATGGGCAGCCTGCATCAACTTCTTTTGCTCTCTCTCTCTCTCTCTCTCTCTCTCTCTCTCTCTCTCTCTCACACACACACACACACACACACACACACACACACACGCACACACACACGCACACGCACACGCACACGCACACTCACACGCACACGCACATGCACACGCACACGCACACGCACATATCATATGAGAATGGTAATGTCATATGATAATATGAGAATGAATCTGCACCATTATAATTCAAAATAAATGGATGAGATTAAAACAGCACTCAAGTGAATCATGTGTCATATTTATTCTCATATTTATCACACATGATTCACTTGAGTGATGTTTTAATCTCATTCATTTATTTTAATTATAAAAGAGAAAATTTGTTCTCACATCTTGGATAATATTTAGATTTTTTTTGAGGTCATGAGCAAAATCTCCTTTATTGCATTTGATGAGAATTAAACTCATAATTTCTTTGCCGAAAGTGGATCATTGAAAGTTGGAATAACTCTTGTATGATTTATATTGAAATTTAGTTTTGGAAGCTCTTCAATATGTTGCAGTGCAAATAATCATGAATCGCAAAATTCATTTCATAAATTTGTCTGTCTTGCATTCTAAAACATGTCATATAAGATTGTCTATTCTAACATCAAAAAGGGTGTTGACTCACTAACATGTTAAAATTACAAATTTTATAGGCATATAAAACATTTCTTGCAATATTGATACTGATATTGGCTGGAGCATTAGGCTGTTATGGTAAACTACTATGGATTGTTACTCTCTATTCAATGACTAATTATCTCATATTTTACAATCCACTATGTCAGCTATTCTCTTCTCCATCAATCTTTTCTTTCTAGAGATCTTCTTCTATTCTTCAAATTAAGGAAAGTACGATCTGAGAATGCTTCATCATAAATATGGAAGGTCTCTTGTAAAACTGGAAGGTGGTTCTAATGTTAAAGGATGGTTACTAATGGGAAGGATATTATCCGCTTAAAAACTATTTTTGGATGCAGAATCTATTATTAAATTCAAATCGCACAGAACTAATTAAAGAATGCCATTGAGACATAGTTGGATAAATATGAGCACAAAATAAGAGATAAATTGTAATTTAGAAGTCCCACATTAAAATTTTAGACAATATTTTAGATCTGTATAAGACACCTATATACAAGGTTTGTTGTCAATTGGATGTAGACAGGCTGTACTGAATTTAAATGAATTTAATTTCATAAAGTCTTTAAAAAAATTTAATTTAATTAATTTATAAAAGTATTAATTAAAATAATTTATTATTAATTTATTCTATAAAAAATATTACTAACAAATTATCCTAGTCATGACACATCATTAAAAATTATTTTTAAAAATTAAGAGACCAGAATTGTTGATTTTGTAATAGTGAAACCAATTGTTTAAAATATTTAAACTAAGAGACCAAAAATACATTTAAGTCTATTTTAATTCATATAATTATTTCAATACTTATTAATAATAAGACTATTTTAATAAATAAAATTTATTTTAATATTTAAATCAATATAATTAATCATTTTTAAAAAAAATATAAAAATCTCAAATAAATCATCTATTGTGAGACATAAAGAGTATAAGAGATAGGATCATTGAACCATGTCTAAGTCTAATAGATTTACACTCAATTTCAATCATTAATAACATTCAATTAGATGATCATATAAATAATTTAATTTTTAAGAAAAATAATAGATCATATTTATTTTTTATTTCATTAAATATGACCATTTAACCAATTTTTTAACAGTTTAAAATTGATGTAAATATTTTAAATTTCCACCTGATATCAATGAATACTGTCTAACGATATAATACTAAATCAAAATTATTTCAATGAATTACAAATAAATATTCTACAGCCTAGCAGTTAAATGAGCACGTTAGTTGCTCAATTCTTCACGTGATTCTCTCATTTAATAGATTAATCTTTTTATTTGGTACATCAAGTTACATGATAAATAAAAAAATCCAATTATTCATTCTATTTATTAATATTTAAGAAAAAAATAATTCCCTTGTACTAATTTCCAAAAATCTAAAAAAAATCATTTTCAATCATAAAAAAAATATACATATTTTTCAAAAAAGATTAATTAATATATATTATCAGTATAAAATTTATATATTAATAATACATCTCAACCATTCATAAATAATAGTTTTGAAGTGATTTAAGAAAATTTCAATATATCACATTAAATATTTATTTATCAGTCCTAATATACTAATGATAAAACAAATTATTTACACTAATGCATATTAATTAAACCTAAATTTTCAACCTTACTTCATATATGTAGTAAAAATGTAACTAGAATTTCGGATATTATTTTCATGCTAGTAATAAAATTCACATTTAACTCACATTTACTATAACCAAAATTAGATATGAAAAACAAAATCAAACCAAAGAAGAAGCATCACCGGGACTCGGTTGAACATCACCGTCTCTACCGTTACCGGAACTTTTAACCGCCGCAGCATCGGTGACAATTGTACGGCAAATGGGGCAATTGGAGTGATTACTGAGCCACAAATCGATGCAAGAACTGTGAAACGAATGCTTGCAAACACTCAGTTCTCGAACTTCCTCACCGTCGGCGAACACCGACAAACACACCGGACACTCGCCGCTGATTTTCGTCGGACGTACCTCCTGGTGCTTAATTCCGGTAAGTTCTCCAGCAGCAGCACTTTCGATGTCATGGCGGGAGAGTTCCGAAGCAACTGATTGAGCGTCGGAAACTTCATCGGATCTCCGGCGATTGGAGGATGAGGATGAACATCCGTAGGCGAAGATAAACGTGTAGATCAAGGCAGGAATGGCGATAATCGCAACAAGGGCGAGGAGAAACTCCAGAGGCGATAAATCGACGGAGCTCGAATCGCTAGGGAACGGCGGTGGTTGAGGTGGTGCAGGGAGGAAGGTGATTTGAAAGACGGAGCTGGGAGCGGTGGCGAATGGTCGAAACGGTGGAGGTGGTGCTGGAAGGACAACGACTTGCCCGGTGGATTGCGGCGGAGGAGGGAAAGGAAACGGCGGCGGAATTGGGATAATATTGGGTAAGTTTTGCATTGCAACCAAATAGAGAGAGTGATTATTATTATTATTAATAATAATAATAATAATAATAATAACAATGTGATGTGTGATGTGTAAGGTTACTTTTGTTACTTTTTTTTTTCTTCAATATTTGTTTATATATTAATTTGATAAAAATATAGAAGTGGTTGAAAATGGTTGTTAGGAGTATAGTGAAAGGGATTGAGTTTGGAGTGTTGAATTTTGTTGTGAATTTCTTTGTAGCAATAATTGATTCGGGTAAAGTTTGTGTGTGTGTGATTATGATGAGAATGGGAATGGAGAAAAAGTGTGATTACATAATGTCAAGACAAAGAACTAACATGTGGACTCTTTGGCCACACTCTCTAGTTTCTTTTATGTTGTTTTATGTAGCCTTTCTTATTTCTTAATACTAATACAAAAATGATCAAGAAGTTAATATTATTTTTAATCGAATTAGTAATATGCCATGTTTTAAGAAAGCTCCAAGATCCCATCTAAGAGTTGTGTCCATTAAAGGATTTCTTAAACAAGTTCACAAAGGATCTCTGAGGTTGTTCTTTAATTGGTTTAATCTTAAAAGATTTAAAATCATAAATATTGAAGACGATCTAATGAAGATAACAATTTACAAGGAGGAAGATTTTTATTTCATCCTAAAAGGAAACTCATGGATTTCTTTGCACTATTTGGTTAATGGTTTAGAGGAAAGGATTGGGTGACTTTGTCATCATGCCTTTGGGTAGCGGTGGTAAAATGGATCGGGTCCGTTGGACCAGTTCGTTTGACTCACTATTTTTGATGGGTTGGGCTGAGATTCGGTTCAGTATCTTAAGTTGGCATATTCCGTTTAACCCGCTTTAAAAAGCGGCCTTAGGCGGGGCGGAGCGGGTTTTGCCCTCGAGTATTTTGTTACACTTTTTATTTTTTACTTAGAATTAAGACAACTTCAAAATATATATCTATCATTTTTATGTTTTTTTATGATTTTTAATAATAAGAAAAATATATTTAAGAAAATAAAATGAGAATAAAATAAATAAATAAAATGATAATGGGCCAGGGGTGTCATAAGTAAGCAGGTTGCATGATGTTAGCAAAAAAAAACCATAGGTCCATGAAGTAAGAAGCCCAGCGCTGCAAGAGACCAAAAAAATGGAAAAAAGTGAGAAAAATACAAAAGACAACACGCTGAGGCTCGAACCCATGACCTCTAGCAATTGCGTGCGTTGCCTTACCACTGGGGTGGCTGTACATCCGTTTATATAAACAAAACCACAAATATATATTAGAAACTGCTTCCTGAAGACAACTTCATCTTCAACCTTGAGTCATGGCTGGACCACCTGTATCTTCCTCATTTCTCCATAAAAATGAAAAGTTCAAACATGAAAGTTGTGGTATTTCTTTCCACGAATTCAACCATATAACTTATGTAAACTAAAAGTCAAAGATAAAATCTAATTTTACTGGCCCTAAATTGAAACCTAATTTTTACAGAAATTTCAAATCCAAAATTCTCTATACACAGTTAATGTAAATGGAAACTATGAACATGGTTAGCTTTAGAGCAAGGATATCTACATTGGATCAAATGATGCTTGTATGAAGAGATAGAAGTTTCAGTTTTTACCTCTTGCAGCTGGAATCGTGAATGGAGTTTGAGAAAGTTTTGAGAAGGCCTGAGAATCTGTTTAGTTTGCCTGGACCTCCCTGAGTGTGTTCAAACCCTTACTTTGTCTTGAAAGTCCATGAATCTCTCTACTCAAGTCAACCTGCAAGCTTGATATTTGAAAATGGTGGATGGTGATGGAAGAGTTACAGTGATGGAACAAGGGCCTGGATCACTTTGATATGATGTATATTAAGTGTTTGGGTGGTTAAAACTCAATACGCACGAGTGGATTTGGAGATGGCTATGTGAGGTTCAAAACTGTCAAGCTATGGCAGATTCTGAGTTGTAAAGTGTTTGAGAGTGTTTTGGAGTCTTAGCATTCCTGTATCAACTTGCAAATAGTGTGTCTACTTATAAGCAAGTGGTCTTAAGTCTTGTAACAACTCAGATTTCAAAAACTCACATATTTGCTTGGTTACTTGTTTGTGAAGCAAAGCTAGCAAGCATAGTTTCAAGGTGTAGTACAAAGCTTGTAGGGGGATGAGACCTTTAAACATACTTGTTCTGATTGAGTGGAGTGTGTTTGTGCATAAAAAATAAGTGCAAGGCTCAATGCAAGCTGACTTTGCATAAAGCTTTCTTTTCCAAAATGGCAATGTTACCTTTCTCCCAAAAATGGAATTATTCTTGTACAATACATTCAATGCTTGGCTTAAAGCTTCCAACAGCTGTGAAAACATTTAATTATGGAGTAAAAGTCAAGTTAGAAGCCTGCAAAGTAGGATTTGTTCAGCATGCTTGAGGATTGGATCCAATGTTCTTCACAAAATGGCTTGAAATCTAAGTGACAAATTATCATCTTCATCTCTTCGATTCTCCCTACTCAAGAATGATCTCAAGGAGTTCTTGGGAATTTTGGAAAGCTCGCAATATGCTCTACAACTCATCTTTGAATTGCTTTTGAAAATTCCTCTTGGAACCATGTGAAAAATTGCCATGAAGTTAGGTCAAAAATCTGCCTAACTAGGGCAAAATTTTACTAAGTTATTTTTAGTTCATGAGCATGTATTCACAAAATTATATCTTGAGATCCAAGAATTTTTAGGAGAAATTGTGTGAAGAAAAGTTGTAGATTTCATGGAGATCTAAAACTTTCATGTTGGAAGTTTCCCTTGAATCATCTTGCATCATGGTGAACATTTGGCTCAAAGTTGAGAAAAAATAAGAAATTTTATATACTTAGAAAAATTTCTAAGTTAAGAAATTTCAACTTTTTAAAATAAAATCTTAAATCCTTGATTTCTTGATGAACAAGTTTCACATTTTGACATGCTTTGATGAATTATGATCTTTGGCACTTGACCTTGACCAAAAAAGTCAAAGTTTGACTTTTTAGTATACAGTTGACTTTTGATCAATTGACTGAAAAATTCATTTGTCAATCCAATGAATTTGTACTGTTTTGAACCATGTTATTAGGTCAAAGTGATGCAATTGGACTCTTAATATCATGCCTTGAATCAATTGATCATTTTCTAGGTCAAAAATCAGAAATTCCCCTTTCCTAGTCAAACCCTAATTTTGACCATTTTGCCCTTTTGATGATTTGATCAAATTTCTTGAGGAGTTGTGGTCCAAACTTGATCAAATGATACATATGAGTCTAAGATGTTGATGTGGATAAAAATTATGAAGTTTGACTGTAAATTGGTTATGGTTGACTTTTTCCTCAATACAGCCGATTTTTAGGTCAACTGTTCAATTGACTGATCAAAAGTGTGATTCAAGGCTTGAAACTTGACATGAGTAATCTTAGGGGTCCATAATTGTCCATGAAAGTCATATGAAGCCTTGGAAGTCCAAAAATCCTTGTGCAAACTCAAACCCTAATTTTGATCATTAGTGCATGAGGAGGTGTCTTGAGCTGGTCAAACCCTAATGCAGTCTTGAGTCAAAGAGGTCTTGTGATAAAATTATTGATAAGTGAGAGGGAAAATTTTGGGGTACAACAGGATCCATCTTTGATATCAACAAGGTAGTGTGAGTCAGCATATACTATCTCAGTCGGCGAGCAGCCCATGCCAAAGCGCAACAAGTTTTCTCGAGCAATGAGTATCTGTCTCACAGTCGGTAAACTTTTTGCTAAGGTAGTATATTGCATGCTATTTTTGACCGGACTCGTCATGCTTCCCCAGCACACACTCCATTGAATTTTCTAGCACTGTCATGTATAATATCAAAGGTCTTCCTTCAACTAGAGGCATCATAATTGGTGGCTCTTGAAGGTATTCTTTAGTTCTTTTGAAAGCAGACTGACATTCATCATTCCAATTTACCACTTGATCTTTCTTCAGAAGTTTGAATATTGGCTCACAAGTAGCAGTCAGGTGTGAAATGAACCTGGCGATTTAATTCAGGCGTCCCAAGAAACCTCTAACTTCCTTCTCTGTACAGGGAGCTGGCATTTCTTGTATAGCCTTTACCTTTACAGGGTATACCTGAATGCCTTTGTCGCTGACAATGAAACCCAGAAGTTTACCAGACCTTACCCCGAAGGTGCACTTGTTCGGATTCAACCTCATCCTATTTATCTTCAACCTGTCAAACAACTTTTGTAGATGATCAAGATGTTCTTCCTCAGTTTGAGACCTGGGTATCATGTCATCAACATAGACTTCGATCTCGTGGTGAATCATATCATGGAACAAAGCAACCATGGCGCGCTGATAAGTTTCTCCAGCATTCTTCAACCCAAAAGGAATCACCTTGTAGCAGAAGGTGCCCCACTGTGTAATGAAGGTTGACTTCTCCATGTCTCCAGGAGCCATCTTGATCTGGTTGTAGCCAGAGAAACCATCCATGAAGGAGAAGATTTTGTGTTTCGCGGTGTTGTCGACTAGAACATCAATGTGAGGAAGTGGGAAGTCATCCTTGGGGATTTCCCTGTTTAGATATCTATAATCTACACACATCTATACCTTACCGTCCTTCTTAGGTACCGGAACGATGTTGGCAACCCACTATGGATAAGAAGTGACAACCAAGAATCCTGCGTCGAACTGTTTCATAACCTCTGCCTTGATCTTCTCTGACATTTCAGGGCACATACGACGGACCTTCTGTTTAACCGTAGGATAGTCTTCTTTAGTCGGTAGGCGATGTACCACGATGTCAGTGTCCAAACCAGGCATGTCTTCATAGGACCAGGCGAAGATCTCAACATAGTCGTGCAACATCTGTATCAACCTCTATTTGACGCTAAGCTCTAGATTTGCACATATTTTAACCTCTTTTATGTCTTCCTCAGTACCCAAATTCACTGTCTCAACCGGCTCTTCATGGGGCTGTATGGCCCTTTCTTCCTGTTGTAATAGTCTAGCAAGTTCTCCAGGCACCT